AGATCGCACTCCAGCCTGGGTGACAGAGTGAGATCCTGTCTCTACAAAAAAAATTGAAAATATAATACAGAACACAGTTTAGCCAATTTTTAATGCTCTGCAGTGACTCAAATGATTAAACATAGACTTATCATATAAACCAGCAATTCTACTTGTAGTATCTACCCAAGAGAAATGAAGACATATATCCATACTGACGTTGTGCATGAATGTTTGTGACAGCATTATTCATAGCAGCCAAAAAGTATAAACAAAGAAGCGTCCGTTAATTGATGAATAAAGAAAATGTGGTCTATTTTTTGGTAATATACAGCAATGAAAGGAATATTATTCATTAATAAAAAAGAATAAAGTGGTGATACATGCTACAAAATGGATGAACTTTGAGAATATTATGCCAAGTGAAAGAAGCCAAACACGAAAGGCCACATATTGTCTGATCCTATTTATATGAAATGTCCAGAGTAGGTAAATCCAAAGAAGCACAAAGTGGGGTAAGGGTTGCCTGGGGCTGGAGGGTGTGGGAGTAAATGGGGATTGACTGCTAATGGTGCAGGGTTTCTTTCTGTGGTGATGCAAATGTTCTAAAATATGTTACGGTGATGGTTACACAGCTTTGTGAACTGTCATACTAAAACCCATTGAAGTTTACACTAAAAATGGGTGAATTTGATCATATGTGAACTATATGATACACTCTTTAAAAAATATATTAAAATTCCTCTGTCTCCCTATCGATTAGAAGAAAAAGTTGCCAACTCTCTGGACCTTCTTCTATGGCTGTATCTCCCTCCAACCATAATCAAGAAATACTCAGCCATGTGCAGTGGCTCATGCTTGTAATCCCAGCACTTTGGGAGGCCAAGGCAGGTGGATCATGAGGTCAAGAGATCAAGACCATCCTGACTAACATGGTGAAATCTCGTCTCTACTAAAAATACCAAAATTAGCTGGGTCTGGTTCCGTGTGTCTGTAGTCCCAGCTACTCAGGAGGCTGAGACAGGAGAATTGCTTGAACTCAAGAGGCGGAGGTTGCAGTGAGCCGAGATCGCGCCACTGCACTCCAGCCTGGCGTTTGGCAACAGAGTGAGACTCTGTCTCAAAAAAATAATGAATAAATACTCCCTGTATTTATGAACTCACGTCATTAGGTCAGGCCCACCCAGATAAATCTGAGATAATCCCCACATCTTACAGGTCTTACCCATATTTATATCTGCAGAGTCCCTTTTGGCATGGAAGGTAATGTATTCATAGGTTCTGGGAGACTAGGATCTCAACATTTTGGGGGACCCTTTTCCTGCCTACCACACCCTGTTTTATGCTTCTTTCTATTGCATAAGAATCTCACACATGTTGACAGATGGAAAAAATATATTATGCAAGTACTAACAGCAGCAACAGTGACAGCTAAAACTAGGCTATCTATACATCAGACAAGTAGACTTAAAGGAGGAAAGCATTATTAGAATTAAAGAGGGAGTTTTCAAAATAGTTCTCAGTCATAGGAGAGATTTTTAACATACTTCTCTCAGTAACTGATACAACAAGCAAACAAACAAAAATGGCCATAAAGATACAAAAGATTTGAGCAGCATAATTAACAAACTTGGCCTAAATGATATACGGATCGCTGAGCCCAACAACATCAGACTACATATTTTTTACATTGGTGCTTGGAAAATTCACAATATTAAATGTACATGTTGGAAATGAAAATGTTGAATATCTGTTACTCAAAAGGTTATAAAAAGAATAACAAATTAAGCCCAAAGAAAATAAAGGGAAGGAAATAATAAAAGTTAATAAAATAGAAAACAAACATATTACAGGGAGGATCTACAAGGCCAAAAGCCGGTTGTTTGAAATGACTAATAAAATCAATTAAACACTAGCAAAATATATCTTGGACAAGAATGAGAAGCATGAATTGCCAATATCAGGAATGAGCAGGCAGTATTACTACAGATGCTACAAACATTTAAAAGATAATACAAAATAAAAGTTTGCATTGTACTACATAAATTCCTAATAAAATACAAGTTATTGGGCCGGGCACGGTGGCTCACACCTGTAATCCCAGCACTTTGGGAGGCTGAGGCAGGCAGATCATGAGATCAGGAGATCAAGACCATCCTGGCCAACATGGTGAAACCCCATCTCCACTAAAAATACAAAAATTAGTGGGGTGTGGTGGTGTGTGCCTATAATCCCAGCTACTCAGGAGGCTGAGGCAGGAGAATCTCTTGAACCGGGGGGGTGGGTTGCAGTCAGCCAAGATTGTGCCACTGCACTCTAGCCTGGCAACAGAGCAAGAGTCCATCTCAAAAAAAATAATAATAAAATACAAGTTATCAAAACTGACAAAAGGAAATAGAAAATCTGAATGGTCCTATACCTGCTCCATAAATCAAATCAATAATTTCAAACCTTTCCACAAAGAAAACTCTGGGCCTAGGTGGCCTTACCAACTCTTTTTTTATGGATGAATAGTATTCTGTTGTATCTATATACCACATTTTCTTTACCTACTCATCTATTGATGGACACTTAGGTTGATTCCATATCTTGGCTATTGTAAATAGTGCTGCAATAAATATGGGGGTGCAGGTATCCCTTTGGTATACTGATTTCCTTTCCTTTGGATAAATAGTTTGGTGGGATTACTGTACTGTACGGCAGTTCTATTTTTAATTTTTTGAGAAACCGCCATACAGTTTTCCATAATACCTTTACTAATTTACACTCCCACCAACAGCACGCACATACATTTTTAAAGCTTTTATAAAACAGCACTGTCTATTATCCCTTGGCACATAAGTCTTCTACTGTATTTTAAAATGGCTGAAGGATGCACTGAAGTCACAATAGCAGCAGCCTCTGGAGGAGTAAATGAAAGGACAGAGTTTGAGGACAGGGACGAAGGAGACTTCGACTTTGTTTTTATTGTCCAGGTTTTATTTTTTTAAAAAAAGCAAATATGGCAAAATGTTAACATCTGTTCATTTTGGATGATGGTTCATAGGGTGTTAGTCATATTATTCTTTGTAATTTTCCCTCTGTTTAATTTCTCAAAATGAAAACAATAAAGTCGAAATAAGAGTATCTTTCATAGTTTAGTCTTAGGCATATTTATTGTTTAGGTATTTTATGTTCCTGTTTGTTTTAAGAAAAAAAATGTGTATAAATATAAGTACAGATGAGACAGTTAAATTTCCTTTTTTTGTTTATGTTCACAAAACCTGCTTGTTTTATTTAGCATTCTTTGGTATCAAAATGTGGCCTTCATACAAACTTGTGAGAAGTAAATCATGAGAGTTCACAGTTTTACCACAGCCTGTATGTTAGCAACCACTTCCTGTGATAGACATCCTCATGCACCTCAAGTACTAGAAGCATCCGTTTGTATTGGAGCCAAAATACCCACAAGCAGAGAAACAAGAAGTCAAAACAATTTTCCTCATTTGTGCTAAAGATTTGTTGCTGTGTGATTGTTGAGACTGAAGCTCTGAAAGCACCAATGTTTGCTGGATCTGTCTCTAACTTGTCTCTACAAGGTCATTTCCAAAAGACTGCCAAAATAATGTCATGTCCCGCCTTTTCCACCACCGACACACCCTGCATGAAAACCCCAAGGAGCACAGAAGATCTGCTTGGGTGAGGATGAGGGCTCTCTCAAAGTCTGTTATCAAAGAAAGGCAGACAGATGGACTAATGGATTAGCCACTCCAATGGAGTCTGTTCTTTTACACACATATTACATATTATGACAATTAATTACTAGGCTGGTGGTTCAGCAACCTTTTGAAGTGATCCCAAGATGATTGCCATGACCATATTTGAAAAGCTAACAGATAAAATATGGGCTTAAAACAGATTACATGTTACTCAGCTAGGCTCTAACCATATGCATAGGTCAAAGTGAGGCGAGGGCCCTCATGGACCCACCAGGATCTCCCATAAGAGTAGAACTCTTGCCTTGTTCATCACTTCTTTCATAAGCAGGCAAAGGAAGGAGTTATTCAAAAGAAGGAACGGAGCATGCTCAACCCAGGCCCTTTTGTCTGTCCAGTTTCTAGCCAGCCTGTCACCTGGATCTATAAGCACTCTGGCCTGCTCTCAGCTATGCGCTAGCTCAAGGAGCCCAATGGGTGTCCAGCAAGATCAACGATGAGGGCCAAATCTTTCTAAGTCAAGGGTCAGTTACAAACAAGATCTCTCTGCTGCAGATCTGAAGCTATATTCTCTCCAATCGATTTTGTCAGTAACAGAAGCTCCATCTGTGTATCCTCTACCTCTTACTTGGTTTCACAGTTAAGAGGGGGTAGAGATTAGTAATTGCTCCCCACAAAAGCAAAAGATGAACCTGATGATTAATTAAGACCTCAAAAATGATAAATTAATATAATCCATGATACCAGCCAATAATTTGTATATCACATTTATTCTTATCCCCATAGTTATCCTGTCTGAATAGTTAACTGAGCACTGCTCACTTTTAGATTTCATAAGAGTTGTTAAAAATAAATCTTTGTACTCTATCGTGGCCTACATGAACTCTTATAGCTTGAGATGGCTGCATTAAAATGTACATTTTGTAATTTCTTATACTAATTACATAGGTATAAGTATACATAGAAAATGTATTTAAATGTTTAACAGGCAAAAACAAAAACCAAAAAACCAAGTCACCCTGCTGTAACAGAATACTGTTCTGCATATGGCCAGCTGTACATTGGCAGAACATAGCGATTTTAAGGATGAATTAGTGTTGTAATCTCTTTGGGATTTCCTTTATATTTGTGGTGGTTTATGACTGACGTTTCGTGTAACTGTAGCTTTCTGTTTGGATTTAATAAAAGATTCATTTCTGTGGCAAGATGCACATTTGCACTCCAGTGTTGAATAAAAGCTACTGTTCTGCGAGGGTCTAAAATGCTGATTTATAATGACACGTTCCAATAACAGCGATCTAATTCTTTCATACTATTTCTTCCCAGGTCCCAGGAACAGCATGCCTCCAGCAAAGGATGACTCTTCTCTTCCAGAACACTCAGCCTTTAACACATCTGTCCATGCTGCAATTAGACACGGAAATTGGAAACTCCTCACGGGCTACCCAGGTAGAGTGCTTAGCTTAGCAAACTTCCCTTCTCACAGTAGACAAAGCAGGGCTGTATCCTCAGGGCAGTGTCTCCAGTCTACCTTCACTCCTGGGATTTTATTCCCATGGTCATTTCTCTGGAAAGGGAGGACATACTCCCTCTTGTTCTATTTCCCGCCTCTTCCTCCTTGGTTCCTCAAGGCTCCTAAGCCCTACCACTCACCTCACTTTGCTCAGATACCTGAAATCTTAACTTGTCTTTCTAATCTTTCATGATCCCTCCTGATATATGTCCTAAAAAGACAACTAATTATTCAGGGTATTCTTTTCCCATTTCTGAGACTCCGCCTGTTCCCAATTGCACAGCTTCCATTCTTGTCATGGCCTGAGTAAGCTTTCCCAGTGGATAATCAAGGAGAAGTTTACCGAGTAATAACTGCCTTTTGCAAAACCTATCTCTGGGCCTGCTGAATGAGGAGATAATAAGAGGAATGGTTTAACCTACTGGTCTTAACCAGAAAAAGAGAGAGAGAGAAAGAGAGAATTAACTGTAGCAGGGGTGAAAGGGAGAAATGTCACTCTGATGCTTCATGGAAAATATGGATTTTAAATATGTGTGGCTATCAAGCATAGCACATTCGGGTAGCAAAGAGGATCTCTGAGAGCTACACCCTCAACCAGTGGTGCCGCTGGGGAAGGAGGTTGCTCCCCTGATTAAATTCTCTAAGAGTAGCATATTTTCAATACTTTTAAAATATGTGGGATGATGGTTAAGGCTGTGATGTAATTAACCAATGTTTATAATGAGAACATTCTTGGCATTGCAATAAGACAAGTTTTTTTGTCTGGGATTGTCCCATGTATTGCAAGGCATTAACATCACTGGCTCATGCTCACTAAATGCCAGGAGGACCCCTATGCCTCAGTCCAAGGACATACACACATGCACACTCATTTCTGGGTGTCCGTGCTTGTGAAGTAGTGAGACATGCCTAAAGCACCAGAAGTCGATGTCTGAGAAACATCTAGAGACAGCATCTAGGGCGTCGCATCTTTTTATATGTTCTCACCCACAACCCAGTGCAGGCTTGGCCACAGACTCCTTTCCTGAAATTAGAACCTGCCTCTGTGCTTCTCCCTCAATAAACTGTTTTGTTTTCTTTGCTAGGCTGTGGTTACTGGTTCCCTCCACCATCTCAATACAATGTCTCTGAGATACCCTCATCAGACCCACCAACCAAGACCCTCTGGCTCTTTGATATTGATCGGGATCCAGAAGAAAGACATGACCTGTCCAGAGAATATCCTCACATTGTCACAAAGCTTCTATCCCGCCTACAGTTCTACCATAAACATTCAGTGCCTGTGTACTTCCCTGCACAAGACCCCCGCTGTGATCCCAAGGCCACTGGGGTGTGGGGCCCTTGGATGTAGGATTTCAGGGAGGCTAGAAAACCTTTCGATTGCAAGTTGGACCTCAGGCCTTTTCTCATGGCTCTTGTCTCGTTTGTTATCCCAACCTGGGTTCACTTGGCCCTTCCCTTGCTCTTAAACCACACCAAGGTGTCTCATTTCAACCCCTAATGTATTTAAGATGCTGATAAAATCTGTAACACTCCTGCTGTTGGCTGGAGCATGTGTCTAGAGGTGGGGGTGGCTGGGTTTACCCCCTTTCCTAAGCTGTGGGACAGCTGGGAACTTAACTTGAAATAGGAAATTCTCACTGAGCCCTGGAGGCTAGAACAGCTGGCTCTTTTAGCCTCACAAGTCAGACCTTAGATTCCCCTCTGCCAATAGCCAGTTTTATTGGAGTGAATCACATTTCTTACACAAATGAAGGGAGCAGACAATTATTAATGGTCTGTTGGCCAAGACTTCTCCCAGTTGAAGGATCATGTTCAAGCACTCCATGTGAACCCCTCTTGGTTTACCCCTTACTCGCTTATCTCATCACAGAGCACAAAGCTCATTCTGTTGTTCAGGTCAACAGCAAAAATGCCTGCACCTTGATTTTGGCTTTTACAATAAAGAAATGTGATTTTACCATAATTTATTCTTCCCCAGCCATTGCTCATTCTGTCTAGACTTCCTGCCACTTCCAATTCTTCTGTGGCTTTTCCTACCTTTCCTTTTGACCTCAGTGTCCTATCCCTGGGAAGGCCACTTTGCTTCTCTACCTGAGCACCCCTGATTTCTGGAACACTGTTGAGCCCTGCCTTCCTTTTGCCCCTAGGGCTGAAGCTAGAGGCTTCCCTGTAACAGGCAGTGGAGTTGCTCTGTGAGGATGATGTTCATGGTGGACACTAAGAGGGCTGGGTGGGAGATGCTTGACTTTGTGGCATCGGTTCAGCGAGGCTTTTCCTATGTTGCATGGAGTTAATCATTGTGATTGTGGCTTTATCTCATAATATATTAACACTTGCACTGCTATTTACTAGCAGTGAGAAGAAACCTCCGGAAAGAATATGAAAAAGCAAGTGGCCAGTGTCAGGGATACTGGGCCTTGGTAAAGCAGAGGAGGGCACATCCACAGTCCTCGTATTCTCTGTTTTACTGCTTGTATTGAGGTTCTGGGGTCTGGGAAAGAGGGTGCACGGTTTGACCTGCAGCCCTTTTTCAATTCCTCTAATGTCTTACTAATGTGGATCAGTCCATATTAGCGCTAGAGAGTGTCAAACCCAGAGAAATGTGTGCAAAAATGATACTCTTTTCTGCATTAGCCCCACTGTTTTGTTCGCCTATGCTTGGAACACTGCCTAAAGGCACTCAATACATTTTTTTAATTTTTTATTTTCAATTTTTTATATTTTTTTGAGACAGGATCTCACTGTGTCACCCAGGCTGGAGTACAGTGGTACAATCACAAGTCATTGTAGCCTCAACCTCCTGGGCTCAAGTGATTCTCCCACCTCAGGCACCCAAATAGCTGGAACTACAGGTATATATCGCCACACCCAGCTAATTTTATGTTTTGAAAAGACAAGATTCCCTATGTTGCCCAGGCTGGTCTTAAACTCCTCAGCTCCAGCAGTTCTCCAATCTTGGCCTCCCAAAGTACTGGGATTACAGGCATGAGCCACCATGCCTGGCCTCATTTTTTTTTTTTTTTTTCTTATGAGACAGAGTCTTGCTCTGTCACCAGGCTGGAGTGCAGTGGTACAATCTTGGCTCACTGCAACCTCTGCCTCCTGGGTTCAAGCGATTCTCCTGTCTCAGCCTCCCAAGTAGCTGGGACTACAGGCACGGGCCACCACACCCAGCTAATTTTTGTATTTTTAGTAGAGACAGAGTTTTACCATGTTGGCCAGGATGGGCTTGATCTCTTGACCTCATGATCCACCTGCCTCGGCCTCCCAAAGTGCTGGGATTACAGGCATGAGCCACTGCACCTGGTCTCATTTTTTAAAGTAAATGAATAAATGGACAAATGAGTAAAAGAGAAAGTCTCACACCATGAAAGATGCTAGTCCAATGAGCTAAATACAGAGGTAATATAAATTTCTTCCAACTGTTGCTTTTCTGTTCGCAAGATGCCCCTCGTGGGATAGGAGCATAATCTACATCACTGGCCAGTCACAGGACTCTGTTGCCAGGTTGTAGTGTCCTCTCCACAGTGGGGAGAAAGGGAGCTGTGCCTAGCAAAAGTACTCTCTTGTCAACAATTTCCATTTCTATTCTTTATAGGACACTAGAAACTAAAAGCGACAAATAATCTGATGTAGGTCCTTGTATAGCCATCCTTCAATTCAGATGCAATATTTTCTGGTCACTACTAACCTGTATTGTATTAAAAGGAGACTATTGGAAGGAAATGGTGCTAGAACTAATGATATCTTTTACCAGCCTTCACTCAACTCCTGGGTTGGCAAACAGCAGGCCAAAATGCCATCACCTTCCACTTGGAAGCCTATGGCCGACAGCATGAAATAACTGAGCCCACATGTTCCTTCCACATCTTCCAAATCCCAGGGTTGTGTGTAGGTAGCCATTGGAGGCCATCGCTACAGGCATCTATCTATTATTGCTGCTGTCCCCCCCAACAGCTGTCTCCAGTTCTAGTTCCTTGGTTGCCAGCCAAAATGGGGGATGTTCTGCATTCAGTGGACTTCAAAAGAGTTTTGAAGCCTAATTTTTTTGTAAAACAAGTACTTGAGATTTTGGTTTACCCATAATAGAATGTAGCTCATTAGATTCTCTGATTCTATACAAGAATGTGAAAAGATTCATATGTTGTTGTTAGAAATAATGTTATTTCTTTCCCTTTTTTTTTTTTTTTGAGACAGAATCTCACTGTGTCGCCCAGGCTGGAGTGCAGTGGTGTGATCTCAGCTCACTGCAACCTCCGCCTCCCAGGTTCAAACTATTCTCCTGCCTCAGCTTCTCGAGTAGCTGGGTTACAGGCACACACCAGCACACCCGGCTGTGTTTTGTATTTTGGGTAGAGACAGGGTTTCACCATGTTGGCTAAGCTGGTCTGGAACTCCTGACCTCAAGTGATCCACTCACTTCAGCTTCTCAAAGTGCTGGGAATTACAGGCGTCAGCCATTGTGCCCAGCAAATTTTTTACCTTTAAAGAAGGTTTTGCTTATTTAATTGTGAGCTCATTTTTCTGTGTTACTACATGATTGTTTCAGATTTGAGGGACAAAATAAAATTAATTTTTCAAAATGTGTCAGCCATGGGTATGGGGCTTCCATTTGGGGGAGGAGAAAGTTCTGGAACTAGATAGTGGTCATGGTTACACAACATAAATGTACTTACTGCCACTGAATTGTATACTTTAAAGTGGTTAAAATGGTAAGCTTTATGTTCTATTACAATTTTTTAAATGTGTCCACCAACTTTATGGTATGTAAATTGTATCTCAGTAAAGCTGTTAAATAAATAAATATAGTAAAAATTTTAGAACTAAAAAAAAGTATCAATCATTGCCGTAAGAATGTAAACTATAAAATAAGGCATTACAGGGAAGTCATGGAAGGGCAGGAGTGAAAACAAAGTGGCAATAAGAGAGAGTGTTAGTTCTCTATTGCTGCGTAACAAATCACCTCAAAACTTAGCAGCTGCAAATAGCAAACATTTATTACTTCATACGTTCTTTGAGGGTCAGGACACTGGGATTGGTTTAGCCCAGTGGTTGTGGCTCAGGGTCTTTTGTGAGATTGTGGTCAAGCAGGCTTATGGTCATCCAAAGACTTGAGTGGGGCTTCAGGCTCCACTTCCAAGCCGACTCACTGACAAGGCTGTTGGCTGCAGGCCTCAGCTTCCTTGCATCTCCACAGGCTGCTTGGATGCCCTCACAATAGCAGTTAACTTCCCCCAGAGTAAGCAAGCAGGAAATAACAGGGCCTTTCCTGACCTCGTCTCCAGAGGTGTACACTATGACTTCTACCATTTTTCGGTTCGTTAGAAATGAGTCATTAAGGCCAGCCTATATTCAAGGGAAAGATAGTCTTCCTTTTTGAAGGGAGTGCCAGATTTGTGGACTTATTTTACACCATGTCAGAGGAAAATGGTCTCGTTTAGCCTCCTGGGGAATAGATTGTCCAGTCAAGTCCACATGCATTTATCAAATGCTGCTATTTGAAAAGAGGTGGTAGAAAAAGCATCCAACTTTGCTATTTAGCAGTAGAATAACCATGAACAAATCACTTCATCCTCTCTATGCCTTGGTTTTTTTTCCTGGTAAAGTGATGGGTTGAATTAGATAATTGCTAGTCTCATATCTCTAGTGTCCAGAACAATGGACACTAATATAATTAGATATTATATTAGCACATAGATATTCTATAAATGTTGATTGATTGACTCTCAAATGACCGAACTCCAATGTGAGGATGTGAAATAATACTATGCTAAAAGAAATAGCCTGAGATTTTCTAACCTCATTTTCTAAATCTCATTTTCTAACAGTATTATAATAAAAGCTGCTGAATTTTTTGAGTGCTTACTATATGTCAGGCATTGTACTACCTGCTTTAAAAAGAATATCTTGCTTCATATAATATTTTTCTTGTCCTTTTTTTTTTTTTTTTTTTTTTTTTGAGACAGGGGTCTTGCTCTATTGCCCAGGCTAGTCTCAAACTCCTGGGCTCAAGAAATCCTCTCACCTCCGCCTCCCAAAGTGCTGGGATTATAGTGTAAGCCACCATACCCAGCCTTTAATATAATTTTTAGATAACCAGAAGTCATGTTTAAATTCATTCAATCTTAATTGTAAAAGGCTTACTTGGTTTTCATCTCTTCCATTTTTTCAATAACTAATCTTTGTTCAAGTGTAAAATATTTTACATCAAGAAAATAGCCAAAATGGGCTTGTAAACGTAAACATTTGTGAATAAAACATTTTAAATGCAGAGAAATTCACTATTTGAAGAAACCTTTTTGTAAATCTTTTTGTAAGTGCAAATTTTGGCTTTTATATTTACAAAACTTAAATACATTAACTGAGGTTTCCTAAATTGAGGTTTTGCTGCCCAGGTTTTCCTGAAGAAGGATTCATACCCATTATCAGATTCTAGGGAGGAGGTATAGTGACCAGAGAAATGATGCAAACAAAACTAAAGGCATGGCCCCTGCCCGTAAGAGGCTTACAACCTAATTCTGTGATATAAAGTTCTTTTCAGCTTAAGTGTTTTTAAGAAAATTGGCCAGGTGCAGTGGCTCATACCTGTAATCCCAACATTTGGGGAGGCTGAGGCCAGAGGATCGCTTAAGCCCAGGAGTTCAACACCAGCCTGGGCAACATAGTGATACCCCCCACATCTCTACAAAAAATTTAAGAATTAGCTGGGCACGGTGGTGTATGCCTGTAGTTCCAGCTGTTGGGAGGCTGAGGTGTCAGGATTGTCTGGGAGTTTGAGATTGCAGTGAGCCATGATCACACCACTGCACTCCAGCCTGGGTAACAGAGTGAGACCCTGTCTCAAAAAGCAGAATAAAATGCCAGCCATATTAGTCAGGGTTCTCTAGAGGGACAGAACTAATAGGATAGATGGATATATGAGAGGGAGTTTATTAGGAGAATTGAGTCACATGATCACAAGGTAAAGTCCCACAATAGGCCATCTGCAAGCTGAGGAGCAAGGAAGCCTGTCCAAGTCCCAAAACCTCAAAAGTAGGGAAGCCAAGAATTCTGGCAAATCACTGGGGTAGGTCTAAGAGTTCAAAATCTCAAGAACTTGGAGTCTGATGTTTGAGGGCAGGAAGCATCCAGCACAGGAGAAAGACGGAGGCCAGAAGACTCATCTATCTAGTCTAGTCCTTCCACGTTCCTCTGTCTGCTTTTAACCTAGCTGTGCTGGCAGATGACTAGCTGGTGCCCACCCAGATTGAGGGTGGGTCTGCCTCTCCCAGTCCACTGATTCAAACGTTAATCTCCTTTGCCAACACCCTCACAGACACACCCAGGAACAATACTTTGCGTCCTTCAACCCAGTCAAGTTGACACAATACTAACCCTCATACTGGCCAATACTAAATATATTGAAATAATTATTATCTTTTGCAGTGATCACTTAAACTTTAAAATCTAGTTTTTGTTCAAGTAGAGAATAGTCATACTGTGTATAGATTGGTTCCCACTGAAAAGCCAGCCTGTTTACCCTGACCGTCCCTGCTACCCAGGTGGATTCAGATGGTATGGAAGTAACTACCAAATCTCTTGTACCTTTGCCCTGTTGCCATGGGAGCCACCAGCAGGATGGCACAAAGCAGAAGAGGAGACCAGCGATTCCCCGGGCCTGACATCAGCGATTTGTGGCCATCAGGAAACTGGAGAGATTCTTTCATTCACAAACTAATTCACCGAAGTCACCAGTCACTGATCACACTTCAGATATTTCACTTATTACTTTTCTGACAATAGAGATAATACAAATCAGTATTACAATTTTTTAAAATACAGAAAACATCGCAGAAAATGAAACAATCCATAAACCACCACCCGGAGACAGCCATCGTAAACCTTCTCTTACACCCCTGCAACAAGACAGTAATTAAGTGGCCTCTTCCCAGGTTGTTTTTCAAATCCCACCGTGCCCAGCTGAGCCCTCTTAGAGATTCAAGATGGTAGATAAATAAAATGCCAGTCTTTAGGAAATCTTCATTTTAATCTTATTAATGAGGTCCAGATGTTCCCTGGATATTGACCCTAAAGAGCCATGGTTTCACACTCACACCACACCCTGTGCTCACTCTCCCCCACGGGGCTCAGGAGGGGGTCTGGACACCGAGGGGCCAGTGTGTGATCAACCAGGCCAGCAAGGAAGGGACTTTACCTCTAGCGTAAACCAGAGCTTCACGGAGCCAGGCAGAGGAGATAAACACACACGCTCCTTCTTACTCGGGAGAACAGGCAAACAGGATTTACTAGGCTTTTATTTACATTAAATGAATCAAAGTTTAGATTTGCCAGCCTTTTATAAGTGAGATCATTCAAGTCTACACTGTGACATGCATTGGGTGAAGATAAGGGTGCCCATGCCCAGCCAGCCCCCAGCAGGAGGTGAGGGGGCATTTGATGAGCCCCTGCTCCCAGGATGCTCACTTGCAGTGGAGCACAAATGTGAGGCTTGGACAGAACGAGGAGGATCCAGGACAGGGTGGGAAAGCAGAGGGGCTCACGAGTCAGAAGAATGCTGTGTGAAGCCCAGCAGGAAACCCATGTTGTCTTAATTTTTGTTTTTGTTTTTTACTCCCATGAGAGCTGTGAATTCTTTCTGTATAGTGTATTTCTAAAGCAAAACCTTTTGATTAGCATGTACTCTGAATCTGTTAGGAAAGCAGCTGGTTTGGTTTGAAAAAGTTTACTTGGACCAGGCGCGTGGTTCACACCGGTAGTTCCAGCACTTTGGGAGGCCGAGGTGGGTAGATCATTTGCACCCAGGAGTTCAAGACCAGCCTAGGCAACATGACAAAACCCTATCTCTACAAGAAATGTATGTATTAAAATTAGCCAGGTGTGGTGGTGCATGCCTGCAGTCCCAGCGACTCGGGAGGCTGAGGTGGGAGGATCACTTTAGCCAGGGAGGTCAAGACTGCAGTGAAGCAAGATTATACCGCTGCACTCCGGCAGCCTGGACGACAGAGCAAGACTCCATCTCAAAAAAAGAAAAAAGAACAGATTACTTGTTGGGGCTTCGTAATAGGGCATCTGGTTTTCCTGATTTCTTAGGCCAGGGCATGAATGAAAGTGTTTAGCTTTAACTCATATAGGTGATAGAAATATGGGGACCTCACATCCAGGACTCCAGGACAAGGAAAAGGGTCCATGTCAGAGGGACCTGCAGTTCTATCACTGAGGTCCACAGATGCCCCTTCCCCACCCAAAAAGCAGCTGGAGTGCCACAGGCAGCCAGGGCCAGGGGATGCCCGGCCATCTCAGCAGTTCTGCAGCCCCCCAGCAACCCCTCCCATCCCCACCTCAGACCCGCTGAGGCTCACACAGGCCCTTTCCCTGGGGCGAGCCTTACCATGGTGCCTTTCCTTAAATTGATACTCTTTACTTATTTTAGTACTTTAAAGTAATGCTTTTTAATTACCGTGATAAAGGAAATACCTCTATCATTGATCATCACAAACATACACGCAGTGAATATGTTCTCAGACTTGAGCTAGGAACTGTTTCCAGCATGGAAGGAAAGAAGGAGAATGAAGAGTGAATTACTTTTCACTGTAATTCTACGTCAGTCATGTCAGGTGTATGACTTGGCAACGCTGTCCTAGAGACTAGGAAACTTGTCCCGGGGGCAGGCACACCCGCTCTGATGTGCCCAGGCCCGGTGCCGGTGCTGGGTGGTGCTCCAGGGTGACTGGCGACTTCACTTCCTGATGTGCTACTCTCCCCTCTGCCTGCCATTTCTCCCAAGAATCATCACAGCTGCATCTTTTTTCTAACAGTTTGTTTTGCTCGTGTGCCTGGAGACCCCAAAGCAAGGGAAGAATTCTAAATGAGTTAAATGTATAAACACGATAAGACATCAACATACACATCCTCTGTGAGACAGTAGAAAATTAGGATCCAACCAAAGGAGGAAGCCAGGAAAGTCAATAAACAAGTTGGTAGAGATGCAATATACAGAAATGAAATGTTTAGAAGAAATAATACTGAGAGGAGGAAGAAAGAAACCACACGGAAGTTTCTTGGGTTAAGAAGTTCCCTGATTACATCACTATAGTGTGGGAAGTAAAAAAAAGAACAAAAGAAGTTCCCTGAGACAGGTTCTGATCCCTTCTCTACCTTAATTTCCAAGATTGTGTGAAAGGAAAATAAAAACTGGGGACCCCAATTCATGATACCAGAAGAAAAAAACAGCTAAGAGCTGAGTCATGCAGAAACTGCCTTTTCTTCTATCCCTAAGCAGATAAAGCTAAGCTGCAGATTAAAGGTTAAATATCCCCACAGGTAGCTAGCTACTCTGTATTCGCCTTATCGGTAAAGTGCCAATTTACTGAGCGCCAGACGGATAGGTAATTGGCTATCCCCTGCCTGTACCTTTTCTCTTCCAACATGTGGATTTCCATACCCTCCCTCTTTCTTCTCCAGACTGCTGTTCTCCTTTAAATTTTTTTTTCTTTTTATTTTTTTGAGACAGGCTCTTGCTCTGTCACCCAGTTTGGAGTGCAGTGGCACGATTTTGGCTCACTGCAACCTCTGCCTCCCAGGTTCAAGTGATTTTCCTGCCTCAGCCTCCGAAATAGCTGGGATATAGCCATTGCCACCATGCCCAGCTAATTTTTGTATTTTTAGTAGATACGAGGCCTCACCATGTTGGCCAGGCTGGTCTCGAACTCCTGACCTCAGGTGATCCATCTGCCTCAGCCTCCCAAAGTGCTGGGATTACAGGCGAAAGCCACCGTGCCTAGGTTCCCCTTTAAATATTGAAGCCCTCTCTCAAAATCATCCTTGGAGAAAGGCACAGGCCACAGACCATTTCTTTGATTCCATGCTTTGTGCTTCTGAGCATGTCCTTAAAATAAGCTTCTAAATTGATTGAGACCTGTCTCGGATACTTTTTGGTTTACAATTATAATCTGTGGTCACCTGGATCATAAAGGCCCTCCCTATACCCCAGGAAACTCAGTGTTATTAATGCCTCAAAATTGCTCCTTTTTTGCCTCATCAGCCAGTTCATACCCCCGGGTGCCCACATGGCCTCACCTGGCCCCAGTTTACTGCAATCTCTTTGGATTCTGTGGTTTAGTTCATCAGATGTGCCATATCTTGCTAATTACAGGAGCAAGGTAAGGAACTAGCCTTTATGGAGGACACATTATTGGCCAGACACTATTGACTCTTACAGGGGCCACTAAATTCTTCACAATAATATCTACTCTTTAGGTAAATGTTTTTGCGATTTTAAAAATTATGTTACGGGGGCTCACTAGGCCAGTAGCATTGGGATTGGAGCCCGGGCTCAAAGCTCTTAACTCAAAGCTCCCCTCTGTTTTCCCGTGCATGGTTGGACCCCTAGCCCTTGGCCCCTTCCCTTTCCTTTGACCTGCCCTTCTAAGGACTAAGGGTAATTTGTAGGAAATCCTGTTCAAGCAATCTATGATCCAGGGAGCCTGTGTGGTGAGTGATGTTCAAAGCTGGAGTTGAAGAGCACACCAACATGACAGAGGTGAGTGAGGAGTGGGAGCAGGGAGGCCAGGGAGGGGGCCAGTACAGCCATTCAGCCAAGAAACCGCAACAACTAAAGAGGTAGACGGTAGTAGGATGAAATGCTAATTAGCGACTTCTGGGTTTTTTTAAATAAATTTCTTTAAACTCAATAATGTTTTTCATACACTTCACATGAAAATTGCCTTCCACACACAGGTCGCAGAAGTTGGTGGCCATCTGTGCCATCTTCCCAGTGAATTTGCAGACAAAACCAACAACACAATGCTGATATGAAGGACAGATGAAATTTACAGTTGGGTTCTTAGGGCGTCACTGCAGCTTCTGATGAGAATGCTGGCTTGAAAATGGAATGAATGTTGTATCTAGTTCTGTGACTGGTTGACATCAGCTGGTCTCTAATCTTTAGCTACAATCACGTACCATCTTGCTGAATTCTGGAGGAGGAGGAGGCAGTTTCTACTAGCCACATAGACTGTCCTCTTGGGTACAAGTCAATAGGGGCCCTTTCATCCTCTGTGGTTAGGGCTCTGAGGTGAAGAGTAACAAATATTTGAGATACAAAGAACATTTCCGAAAATTCTCTTTGTAATGTTTTATTTTCCGGAATTGGGATGAACGAAAGTATTGGCCTGGATATGTGGACTTTCTTGTAAAGAATGTTGCTTTATGAGGATCTCTGTTTCAGGGTTTTTTTTTTTGAGATGGAGTCTCACTCTGTCACCCTAGCTGGAGTGCACTACAATCTCTTGGGTTCAAGTGATTCTCCTGCCTCAGCCTCCCGAGTAACTGGGATGACAGGCACATGCCACCATGCCCGGCTAATTTTTGTATTTTTGATAAAGATGGGTTTCACCATGTTGGCCAAACACCTGGCCAAGGATCTCTCTTTGAAAAGAGAAACAAAAACTGACTATGTTTAGGTTCAGTTAGAATGTTTTGGTTTAATATATAAATTGGAAGACTCTCTATTGGTTAGAAAAATACTTTGATTTCTACAGTGAGTTATACATTGATGCCTAAACTGGCAACATTTTTGCCCCATGTAGCTGGGGCCAGCCATGGTGGCTCATGCCTGTAATCCCAGAACTTTGGGAGGACCAGGCTGGCGGACCACTTGAGGTCAGGAGTTTGAAACCAGCTTGGCCCACATGGCGAAACCCCATCTCTACTAAAAATACAAAAATTAGTCAGGTGTGGTGGTGCATGCCTGTAATCACAGCTATTCAGGAAGCTGAGGCAGGAGAATCGCTTGAACCCAGGAGACGGAGTTTGCACGTAGGAGACGGAGGTTGCAGTGAGCTGAGATCACACCACTGAACTCCAGCCTGGGTGACAGAGAGACTTCGTCTCAAAAAAAAAAAAAGCTAAGTAGCTAAGCCAGAGTGATTATGTCCACCACTCCTCTTACTAGTTGGGATGAGGCAAGTCCCTGCTTCTCAGGCAAACAGTCTTGGGGAGTCAGCTCCTGAAGACAGGATCTGACTGGGGCTGCTGTGGGCTTCTCCTGAGGGTGCTTTTAGAATCTGTCATCCCAGTGATCACCCCAGTCCAAACCATCTAGTGTGGATGGGGGAGAGCCTCTCTCGGGATAGGGATGGCATTGTGCAGTGAGCCGTGGGTGCCATTAGTCCTTCTTCTTGTTACTAAGGTTTTATGCATAACATCGTCCGTGAGTAGAGATTGGCCTTACTTTTACCAGTACTTTTTATAATACAGTGTTAAGATTCTTGCTGGATTGACGGACTTTAAAATGTTATGTCAACTGTGTTTCTTTCATTGCCAGAAGTTTGCACTTTTCCACATGTTTATGGCCCCCATGTCTCTTTCCTGAGTGGCCTGACCAGCCCTCCGTGCCAGTCTCCTGGGCCCCATAGTAGAGGGAGCAGGAGAGGGTGAGAAGGAGACCCAGCTAGGAGGAGAGAGAAAGGAAAAACCAGCCTTTGTTTGAAGCTGAATCCTCATTCCAGGCAGGCTACCAGTTCTCCTGTTCGGGTGGGCGTTGTGCGCACACAGCTGCCTCTGATTTCTATTTCGTGTCTGGAATTGTGGCAGGTGAGGAAAAGTGAAGAGGTACCCAGAGAATAGGCAAGGCCCTTTTCCTTTCTTATGGACAGAGCTAAAGTGAGACTTGTGAGCACATTAGGAAGGCTACTCATTTGGCGCTCCTTCAAAGTGATATTCTTTTTTTTTTTTGAGACTGAGTTTTACCCTGTCACCCAGGCTGTAGCGTAGTGGCACAATCTCAGCTCACT